GCATGCCCGCATGCAGCCTGGAGCCAGCAGAACTCTGCATGCACCCCAGGTCCAGCGAGGAGTTGTGCATTTCAAAGGAGGAATGCAGAAGTGCCTACTGCCTCGTTGAGTAGTTGATAGAAATTCTATCGACTGCTCGACTAGTAAGTTAACCCAGTGTTTCTCAACCTTTTTTTTTTTATAAAGTACCCCTTTAAAAAAAAGTCAGTACCCCCAGTACCTACACTTTTCAGACACACAAACTTTTTTCTACCATTGCAATACATTTGTTTAAACAACTTAATTGTAGCTGGGCAGGCGATGAAATTTTTGGGTGTAAAAAGTACAAAAATAAAGCGCTGTAAAACTTAAAACAAAAATTCAGTTTTCTTCAAATTTCAGTTGTGTTGAAGTACCCTCCAGACTTCTCTGAAGTATCCCTTAGGGTACTTGTACCACTGGTTGAGAAACACTCAGTTAACCGACATTTAACATCCTTAGACTGAATGAGAGCAAGGGTCTCAAACTCCGAGCCCAAGAGCCATCCCTGGTCAAAGAAACTGCGCAATCCAGCCCGGGACTCCCAGCCCATTATCACCCTGCCCTCTCCCCTCCCCTTGGCATCCTGTCCCCAAGGACACAGCTTCAGGGATCATGAGTAGTGGCAGGACCTGGCACCACATGGCAGCAATGGTCATGACGCCCCATACTCTCTGAGGCAGCAGGAGCTGTGGGGAAGCAGAGCACAGCGAGTGCACTTGCCCAGTGCGTGCACTCGCCCAGTGCATTCCAATTCCCCTGAAGCTCCTGCCACTGTGGGAACTATAGAGGAGCACGACTGCTGCCATTGCACAGCACCAGACCTCTCCCCACCCCACAATCCCCAAAGCTGCGTCCTTTGGAACCAGGTGCCATGAGAGAGAGGCAGAGCGAGGGTAGGAAGGAGCAAGGCTTGAGGACTGATCATGACCACCCCACCCACCACGAGTCTTGTGTCAGGCTGCGCAATTCCTCTAGCTAGAGATGGCCCGCAGGCCCAGAGTTTGAGACTCTGGAACTGCAGTATCTTTTTTAAAGTTACTGGTGATAAGAGACCCCACCACAACCTTTAGTAAACTGTTCCAATAGTTAACTTGCCACACTGATAAAAAAATTGTGCCTTATTTCTAATCTGCATTTCAAATGTCATTCCTACAGCCCCTTTCCAAATTTTTTCCATGACACTCAATGCAAGTTTCTTTTAGAAATACTTTGTTATTTAAATTATTTTTCTTATCCTTACCTTACTGAGTTTTTTCTGTCTTTTCTCAGGTAGCATTTATTGTCAGAATGGCAAGATCACGATTATAAAAATAAGATACTGGTTAAACTGTATATAGTATTAAATTTTACTAAATGTAACAAAAATATATTGCCCGCCACATAAAAGTCTAGAGAGCTGAAGATAGCTAGCGCTTTAAACAATTGGGCCCAAAATGGGAGGTTTCTAAGAGCAAATCTAGCTACAAAGAAGACTGTCTTAACGCTGGGGAAAAGGGAAAATGAACTCAAAGTATCAGACCAATATCTTCATATGGCAAAATATGAAAAGTTTCTTTTACTCAGATGACTAAGAAGAATGGAAGAATTTAGCAATCTGCTGCTAATTTCTATACAAACTGGGCACTGTTTATGACTTAGGCTGTCCAGTTTGTGTGTGTCTCAGCAGCTTTCTCTGTGACCTACAATGCATTCAATTCCCTATAACAAAATTTGTTTATCGGTAATATTGTTAATTTTGTCCTCTAATGTTTAACTGGTGCTCAGCTTGTCAATGTTTTATCTAATTAGAAATATGCATACACTGTAGTTAGTCCTATCTCTCATAGAATGATTGAAAAATAAAGGCTTCTGATTGAAGATAATTTATATTTGATAGTTCTCAGATGCTGAGATTTCTTGGGGGAGGGGAAGACTCTCATACTCACTTCTGAAACACTTTAGAGTGCATGTTTTTAGTCATTCAACAAAATCTTGATATAAACAGAAAATACTATTTTTAACTTTTCTACCTTGCAAGTGTGCATTATAATTAGCGATAGGTAAACCACATGGCAAGATAAGAATCAGTCTGAACATCTGTCTTCTCCTTGAACCACAGCTAAACTTTCATGAGTTTCTGTACCATTTCAAAAGCCTCAGAGGTAGCCATGTTAGTCTGTAACTTTAAAAACAAACGAGTAGCCCTGTGCACCTTAAAGACTTGACAAATGAATTGACTCATCTGATTAAGTGGGTTTTATCCACGAGCTTGAAATATATTTGTTAGTTTCTAAAGTACCACAAAACTGCTCATTGTACCATTTCAATTGACCATCATACTATACTTAGAATGCAGCAGTTCATCCTGCTGATAGTCCTTGTAACTCCTCTCTAGATTTCCCCTGCTAGTTGCATTCCTCAGAGTATACAGTGTACATGGAGAATGTGCAAGACTTGCACATTTTGGGCCCCAATCCTACAAACACTTCAATAGGACTACTAAGGAATGCAAAGTTAGTCACAAAGTTAAACTTTTTCAACCATAGCAAAGGCAAGTCCAGAACCAATAGGGAAAAAGTGTTTTTACACTTTGCTGCTTTGATTGCCAGGTTTCAGCCTACAACAAACTTTTATAACATCTGAGAACCAGGAATGTACATAAGTCACAGAAATGCTGGAGAGGACCACTTCACCAGTAGCCTAAAACATAGTAGTCATTCAGATGCTGCACCTAAAACAATCCCAAAAGAGGTTATTAGCCAAAAAGTTTAACGCAATGAAATATGAAACTTATTACTCATATAAACCAGCTATAAAGTGAGACTTTCAGAGGGGAAAGATACTGAGGACTTTGTACACAGTTGTAATTTATAACAAGCTTGTTAGGATCCACACCCAAATATCGCTCTGCATTTCCTCAAATCCTCTGCAGAAAATGGGGGTTTTACACAAATCCTCTGCAGAAAATGGGGGTTTTTACACAGCTAAACACTGCAGCATAAACACACAGAACTTGCATATTAGGGTGGAGCATCATCTGCATAGGCCTAACGGAGAACCGGTTATGGGGAGCAAGGGGGTGACAAACTAGTGTGCAAGCGTAGCCAGCCAATGCAGCGAAGTCAGACCTAGTACAATCCTTCTGAAGTCCTTGAGGCGCGGGGTGCACATTCAGGATTTGGACCCGTGCCCCGGTACCGGGTGAAGGGGGGGCTAGCCATCCGAACCCCCAAAGCAGCCTATAGAGGTGACTGGGCAACCAGGAGGCCCACCCACCTCACAGCCCCACAAACTTCAGGCAAGAAGCCCGGGGAAGCGCCTCACCCGCTGCGCTGGGGATAAGTAGAAGGCGGCGACTTTCTGCGTCTGATTCAGGATTTGGACCCGTGCCCCGGTACCGGGTGAAGGGGGGGCTAGCCATCCGAACCCCCAAAGCAGCCTATAGAGGTGACTGGGCAACCAGGAGGCCCACCCACCTCACAGCCCCACAAACTTCAGGCAAGAAGCCCGGGGAAGCGCCTCACCCGCTGCGCTGGGGATAAGTAGAAGGCGGCGACTTTCTGCGTCTGCCCAGCCGTGTCCTCCTGCTGCAGCAGCTGCCGGGGGGCAC